TCAGCTGTCCCTCCGCAGCGTGCCAGCAGTCCCTAACCCTTTGCCCATCATCTCTTGTATACCGGAAGGGTGTCTGCAGGTGGATGCAATGCTCTGCTGTGGCAGGGTATCTACCGAAGCCCCAGGGGAAACGAGAAAAATCGAAGGAACAAGCACGAAGGGACAGGGGACAAGTGAGAGGGGACGGAAAATGGGTAAGAAGCTGCGCAAGGCTACAAAAGCTCAACGAAAGAAAGAAGGAGCCTCATTGATCAAACTCTTTTCCTCTCGAGCACAGCAGCCGCTGAAGACGCGGAGGCGGCATCTGTGGCCCTTTGCATCTTATTTTTTGACCGAATTTTGTGCGCGAAGAACACAACAAGGCCCATCTGGCTGCTGGCGAACACCGCGGAGGCCAAAGCAAGCTGAATACACAGAGAAATGGAACACCTGCTGGCACGTCAGAGATGCAAAGAAGACACGCGACAAAAACAAACGGCAAACAACGAAGCAAGGATACACATATATAGTCCAAGCACTTCAGACGAACGCCAGAGGCGCACGAGACGAAATTGCCTAAAGCGCTGACACAGCCAAATTTTTCCCTCTACCCCCCAAAGATAGGCACTGCGGCGCTGGTGTGCATATCCGTCTCAGCAGTACCCCTTCACTTTCGGTTCAATCCAGGCCCCGAAAGCCCGCAGAGATCTTCTGCATACCTCCAGGAAAACAGGTTTTCCCTCGAACTCCAGTTCATATCCATAAAATAGCCAAAACAAACAGGTCACCTGAAACACCGCCATCGCCAGCCCCGTCTGCAGTAGAGTGTCCTGCACACGCAACAAAATAGACCCAACTCTTTGATAACTACAGCGCCAAGCTGCTTCCGAGAGTCCGCTCCAATGCTACCGCTCCGGGTAATGCCCCAGCTAACGCTGTAGGCTTGCACCTGCATATGGCTCTACTGCACAAATGCAGCTGCAAATCAGAAGAGGAACTGAAAAAGCAAACGGCGTGGGGTCCTTACTTTCTTCATGTCAGTGGCCCCCACAGCAAACGGAAGCAGACAGAGCCACCACAGAAAATACTGAGCGCACACACACCACCCAAACAATCCTAAATCCTCAATCCCAGGGAGTTTCACGGCATCAGAAAACAGAAACCATCCGCCCATCCCACATAGCTGGCGTGTGGGCGGTTCCCATTTCCAGGAGCAAATAAGAAGGGGAAAAGATGTTCCAGATGTATATGGGGGGAATTTCGGGCATACCTGAGTAGTACAAACTTTGTTGAGCGCCACGAAAGCCACAGTCTGTGCATCAGCAGCACATTCCCACAGCGACCCTCAATTCTAGAGCCTTAAGGGTCTTAAGGCTGAAGAAAGAAAGACACTTGTTACATTCTCCCCCATTTCAGGTCCAGGACCACTGCGGGCCTCTAAACTTTGCAGACATGCTGTGCTGCGGCTGCTGCTGTAGCTACACGGGGCTGCTGCACTACATTACTGCACAGAGTTGCTTGTACAGCAGGCAGCAAAAGAACAGTAGGGGGAGAGTTCGCTAGGCCAGTCAAGGCTGCTGCAGGGGGCACCATGGTACAGCGCACCTAAATGAAATGAAACGCCGTCCAATGCAGCCTAATATATATGAAGGTCCGCGTATGAAACAGGTTGCATGCACATACAGTTAAGTCAAATGCATAGACAAAGAAGGTCTTATATGAATCACCTCCAGGAATAAACCGGCCTCCAGGTTAGACGTCGCAAAAAAACAGCCGAGGAGGAGGGCGCATAGCAACTGAGGGAACAACAGCGTCACTGACAGACCCTAAGGAAGGAAAGAACACCAAGATACGCACAAAGCCCCTGCTGCTGTTGTTGCTGTTGCTTTTTCTGGTGGTGCTGGTGCTGCTTCAGTTATTGCCATTGTTGAAGCTGCTGCGGTTTCTGCAATACAACGCTAAATATGGATCCTTGAGAAACCGGAAACTCATTCAGTCTGAAGGTAGAACTATACAAAAGCAGGACAGTAGTGATGGAGGGACAAGCATAGCGTAGGGAAATGACAAGCAAACAAGACAGAAGAAGTCATCGAGAACGACTAACATAAGAATGAGGACAACTACTAAATATACGAGAAAGAAAAGGCAGCAAAATATCGATACTGGCGCCTGCATACAACCGCACAAAGCCCTAGTACCCTCAGGCGTCCTCAATCAGTATTGTTAACGGGGCATTTTCAACAGCAACAGCCACAAGACAGGAGAGCTGCCGGTACATTCAGAATGGTCTGTGTTGTTGCAGGGGGGCGATCTTCAGCATGTGCTGCTCACCTTCACCGGCGCCACAGAGTCCAGGTACAGCAGATAAAAGTAGGGAGACATGTTGTGCCGGTGATCGCTGCGGGTGGCATGATAAAGGTAAGACTCGAAGACAAACGGGAACCCGTACCTGCAGCAGCGGAGCGCGCCGCAGCGTCAGTATGTACAGGCATCTGGAAGCGACCCATAACCCTTCCCCCTAAAGAAGCGTTAAAACCGGCAAAACGCACATTCAATATACTTGTAGCCGCCACAGCTGAGACGCCACAGCGCAGCAACTACAGCAACTGCCGCTGTTGCTGCTGCTGCTGCAGCCCCTGTGGAGACGAGACAGGCTCCAGGGACTGCTTGTCAGCGGCAATGGCATGTTTCCTTTCTTTTGGCGCAAATAAAAACTGCCAGCCAACAAAGATGGAAAGTGACTGCAGTGGAACGCAGCGCCTGAGAACGCTGCAAAGGCCCCTCCTGGGCATCCATCTGCCGCAGGAGTAGATGCAGCTAGCAAAAACTGAGAGCGGCGAATGCGGCGACCTGTGCCACCCCACAAAAAAGGCTGACGCGCATTTATTCACGTGTAAGTACACAGCGGGGACTCACATGTAGTAGAAGAGACAGCCCACGGCGAAGCAAGTTGCAACGGAGAGGAGACCGAAGGCCCACTGCCTTCGCCCCATCCTCCACAGTAAGAACCAGCACACTCGAAACGGCAGCAGCAGCGCGGCAACAGGAGCTTTAACCACAACCCACAGCAACTGCTGCCACAAACCCGTCGGTCGTCGTGGTAGCGTCGTCAAGTTGTCAGGCTGTAAAACGACAGCAGCAACTGCGACAGTAACAGCCTATCTGCACGCCTAAAGCCAGTCCTATCGCCCCAAATCACGCTGTTACCCCCCCCCCAAGCGCAGCAGCAACAGCACCAAAAGCCGCGTCAGCAGCTGCAGCCTCACCAGCGCCCCCGGCTGCATGTAAAGGAGAATGGGCACCCCGTAGATGACAGGGTAGACCTTGAGGTGAACTGCAAGCCCGTAGCTAAGGGGACAGCAACAGACAAACGCATACAACACACAGAGTCACGTGTCGCACATTCCCCACCACCCCTCCCCCACCCGAACAGCAACGCCATCAGCGGCAGAAGCAACGGCAGCAAGGGTGGCCACAGCGAGTGCCAGCAGCACAAACTGAAACGGGCGCAGCAGCAGCACCAGTAGTAGCAGGCAAGCAACAGCAGTAAACGCTCACAGGACTGCAGAGAGAAACAGCCTTTGGGCTCTAACAGCAGTCACTGTAAGCAATACGAGGAGACACGGCACAGAGTCGGCGTTCCCGCGTGCGCTGACGGTAGCCACAACCGGGTGGAATAGCCAGCAACAGCAAGGCAGCAAAAACGTATGCAAAGGGTAAGCGGTGTTGGAGCTTGCGGCCCCTCCTGTGCGCTCGCATTGACCCGTAGAGAACGACTGATCTTGCTTCTGCTGCTGGCGTTGCAGGTATATCTTCCAGAGTCCTTGCTGCAGTTAAAATACCACACAAAGTCATCTTATATATTTGCTCTCAACCCTGAACCTGAGTCTGTTGATCCTCCATCCAAAACCATGATCCGTCGACGCACGCCAGACTTCAGCACACAACATCCACTCCCTCTATCAACGTATACCCCTATCTCAGACCCTACACCTTAAGCCCCATACAACGCACTCAATGGAAAGGCCTATTTGTG